TCTGGATCATGCCCTACCCCTAGATTATTGCAGAGGTTCAGAACCTTACTTGATGAGTATGACAATGTCTTTGATCCCAACTTCAAAGGTTATAATGGAGCTTCTGGTCCTGTATATGCTGCAGTCAACATGGGTCCTGTGTTGCCTCCTCAAAGGAAAGGTAGAGTACCCCAGTATGCCAGAGATAAACTTGAAGAGTTACAATCCAAGTTCAACGATCTTGAAGCTAAAGGATTGTTTGTTCGACCCGAAGATGTTGGGGTAACTGCTGAGTACCTAAACCCATCCTTTCTTGTGAAGAAACCTCAGGGCGGCTTTCGCTTAGTTACAGTTTTCACAGATGTCGGTCGATATTCAAAGCCCCAACCATCACTTCTCCCGGATGTTGATTCCACTCTCCGACAGATTGCCCAGTGGCGATTCCTCATTTCCACGGATCTCACCAATGCCTTCTACCAGACGCCTTTAGCTCGTGACTCCATGAAGTTCTGTGGTGTAGCAACCCCTTTCAGAGGTGTACGGATGTGCGAATGATCTGCAATGGGCATGCCTGGATCCGAAACTGCATTGGAGGAGTTGATGTGCCGTGTACTTGGCGACCTACTTGAAGAAGGGGTGGTAGTAAAACTTGCTGATGACCTGTATTGTGGTGGTAATTAAACGATGATCTATACAACAATTGAAACGTCTACTGAGACTTCACAATAACAGTCTCAATCTCTTTGCATCGAAGACCATTATTGCACCAACATCCACAACCATCCTCGGTTGGATCTGGAGAAACGGTACGATCTCTGCAAGCCCTCACCGGATCTCCGGACATTGTCTGCTTGTGCTCCTGAGAAAGTGAAAGGACTCCCGGTCCTATGTAGGGACATACAAAGTGCTGGCGCGAGTTATTCCCAACTGTTCATCTATCCTGGCACCCCTTGATGATGCTATTGCCGGAAAGCAGTCAACTGATCGAATACATTGGACTGAAGATCTCATCTCATCCAATTCTCAGAGGGCTCTCTCAACTTGTAGTGTACTCACTCTTCCACATACTGGTGACCAGTTATGGGTTGTGACCGATGGTTCAGTTAAGAGACAGGGTGTTGGTGCTACCCTCTATGTTACTCGAAACAACAAGCCTCTCCTTGCTGGTTTCTTCAGCTCCAAGCTCCGAGGTCATCAAGGGAAGTGGTTACCATGTGAAATAGAAGCACTTTATTATTGCTTTGTGCAGTGAAGATCACCCAATGGATGGACCGCCTGCTGTCATTCGATCTGATCCAGCTCCCAGTTTTGTAGCCCTTGTTAATGACAGGTTTATGAAACAAAATGGTGTAGTTATTGAAATCGGTCGAGTCAAGAACAAAAATAAGAACCCAGTTGCAGAAAGTGCTGTTCAAGAACTCATAACTGAGTTACTGCGTCAAGACCCTCAGTGCAGTTACGTCTCGCCCCTCAACCTATCTCTTGCCACTGCACGTCTGAACTCACGGATCAGAACCAGAGGCTTCCCCCGCCAGGGAAATGTGGGCACAACGTGACCAGCACACAAACTCTCAGTTGCCTATGCATGACACGGATCTAATTCTTAGTCAACATGGCCAACATGTGTCCAATCATTTACCAAGTGAGAAGTCTAAGACTCCCACCCTCAAGCAAGGTCCGACACCTGACATTGATGTGGGAAGTATAGTCTACATTCACAGCGATGGCTCCAAGTCCCGTGTCCGTGATCGTTGCAGCGGTGTGCAACGTTCGTAAATTCACCGGATCACAACTTCCAAACACTTCCTATAGAGTGAAAAAGTCGGAGTGTTACTCTGTTACAAAACCTTCACTGCAACAAGCATCCACTTTGTCAGCTGATCTCCAATATCTGTCAGTGGGAGATGAACATGACAGATTCCCAAAGTCTCTACCTCCTCCTCCTCAATCTCCTCCTATACCAGATGTCATCATGGATCCCCCCTACACCTGCAGAGAGAGCTGACCCCTATTATGCTGACGTGAATTCACACCGGTATCGCACTACTGGCAACACTGACTATCCAGAAGATACTTCAACAGACTCCCCTATCGATCAATCAGAACCTTCTATGTCTCCAAAGTTGCGTCGGTCCAGTCGCACTCGTCAGATGCCGTGCCACCTCTCAGACTATATCCTGGACTAGACTAGATGTGTGTGAGCATCCTATGGTGATACTGTGTTACATATATCAGTAGCTTGTATGCAATGTGATGGGGCAGAATAATCCATGAGACTGGAGAACGATTTACCATTTGTTTACTGTTATTAACTTTAGTGATCATATTCTACCGCATAGGCCCGTTGTATTTGGTATTCCCCTTTCATATGGATACATGTGTGGATCCCATCCATAAATTTTTATTAGACGAAAAGAAGGAGAAGTTACGCCAGTTGACAGTTAGTTATTAACGAGTTAACACAATGACTCTTAAGAGTTATCGCCCTAAACATAAACTCGCTTTCCCAGTTTTATGTTCCGTTGCTCGGGTTGTCTGTGTGTCGCCTTGGCTCCGACAATAAAGTGTTTGGACTTGATTGCACATGTCCTGGCTGTTTATCGTGGAGGCTGTGGAGGCGGAACCTTCTCCATTGGCAGAGCATGTACAATGTGAATTATCCCCACTAAATTTTATGTACATGTACCAAGTAAATGACCCCCCTTCATATCAGGTACAAAATTGATGACCCTCCACCCCACACCTCACCTCCAAGCTACCCACCCACCCCTACCCCCCAAGAACAAACAATGACATGTTTGTTACAGAGAAGACAATACAATCGTATATTTGAGTTAGGATAAGAATACATCTTTGGCAGTGAAGATTTCAGTTTATAAAAGTATTGAAGTGCAAAATATATAGTCTGTCAGTGTTACTGGAAAGACATTTCAGATCAAGTTGATGGAAGACAAAGAAGAATTAAATTCTGGTGTTCAATAAAACCTTTAGACAGTGTGCTTTGAATAAACAACAATAAAATTACCGGTAGCAGTTACCATTTTGAAATTTGTTTTCTAGGAACTCAGAAACTCATTTCACAACAAGTTTGACTGTAATTGCCATGAATTTATCAAACTGTCAAACAGGTTGGCAACTAGCAAAAGTATCCAAGTTTGGATCACATTCCTCAAACTGTCAAACAGGTTTGCAACCAACAAAATTATCCAAGTTTTGATCATCTCCCTCAAGCTGTCAAAGAAACAAATCAATCACTAAAATTAATCTCCGCATTTGTCATACCCATCTTGCCAGTTCTGAGAAACATACAGAAGTGAATATATCATTCAAATTTTGTTTCAGATTATGACACATTAACTTTATATAGGAAACTAGATGTTAACACTTTGATGGTTTTGCAGACTGATCATTACGATGTCATATTATAGTCACAGTCACACACTGTCTTTCAAATAACAGTCTTTCAAAAGTGCATAAAAGCATTCAAAGTTTCTAGAACAGACTTCTTTGTGAAGCATAAGGTAATCTTATTTCATATATTTGATGCTCATCTAAATAAATAAGGAAAGAAAGACAAAAATAAAAGATAATTAGTATTAAACTGTCTTTGCAGTTACAACATAAGTCTTTTAAGTAACAGCTATTTTTGAAAGACATATAGCATACAACGTTTTAAGGAAAATATGACTTGTTACTCAAAATATAATCTTAAAGGTCCTAATATGAGCACATAGCAAATCTAGATGAACAAGGACCTACCAGAGATAATGTTTATTTTCAAATTTGTATTGAATTGTCTTTGCAGTTACAGAATTTGTCTTTCCAATAACCACCTTTGACAAAAATTAGTATGATTGCATTGAGACAAGAAAGTGTAAAACATGTTTCAGCCTCAGCATACATAGACCTTAGATCATTACAACAAGTCAACTGTTAATGACATTAACATAACAAAAAAGAATATGTGACCAATCAATATTTATGTTTCTTTGAAGTAACACTGAAGGTCTTGCCAATTACAAAATAGCTGTTACAGAAAAGACTGGTTATATGAAAGACAAATTGTAAGAGTAAATTAAGAGAAAAATAATGACCAGTCCCTTCCCCACTTCAGGCAACATTCTTATGTTATAATTATGGTTCCAAATGCAAAGAGAAAAACATACTTGTGGAAAAATTGGGTATTTTTTTATAATTGATGTTATCTAAAAGACACCGATAAAAATACTCGCAAATGCTGGCCTTTTAAACTTGATTTTCTTTGAAAAGTTTGTCTTGAACACAACACCACATGCTCATCACTCTCAACCAGTTGTTAATAAGTATAACATGTAGTTCCACTTTCACATGATGAGGGATCATTAATTATTTCATAATTCTATGGAACTGTTACAGGAAAGACAATTTTCTTGTATACAAGAGAAAAATGTTGTTTTTAATATCAAAATTCAGCTTGAAAATCATGAACATCTACCAGGAATGGGAAAAAGGTCTATTGTTTTCAACCACTCCAGAAACAATACCTTCTTGAATGAAATTTAGTGCACAACAGACACATGATGTTAGGTTTTTGCACCTGGATACATGACAAAATGCATGTCCCTTGTTACAAAAAAAGGGAAAAATAAATATTATTTGGTCCTTTTGTTTGTGAAAAGAAAAATCCCCAAGTAAGATTAGATATTGGCAATGAAGGAGAAATCAGATTTTTAACACACTGATAAAATTTGACGGTTTTATTGAGGTTTTAATCCTGATACGGGGAAAAGCTGCATCTTTTGAGAATGACTTTTATATGTAGGTGGCTGTCAGAGGCCGAGTGTCGGATCAGCAATACAAGCCTTGTGACAACATCGTTAAAGTGGGGAACATTGCTTGGTCAGAGAAGCGCATCCGACAGTGGAGACAGAGGACGGTAACATATCTAGATACCGACGATCACGAACAAACGAGACACAACTCCAAAAGTAGATGTTACTGAATACCCTACCTTCGAATTGTCATATACTGCATTTACTTACGTTTGAGTGCCACTACTATGTACGGCCTCTCTGCTTCGGGTTGAAGGTAAACAATTTTACGACCAGATTCATGAGACTTTCCGCTCGGGGGTTCCGAGCACGGCTTTAGCTATTTTTAGAAAAGACTGGTTTTCTGTCGCTCTCCTCGACGACCTGGCCCCGATTTCTCTAAACAAACTTAAGTTTTTACTCAAATTACAAACTGAGTTTGAGATTTTGACTCAGCTGAGTTTCTTACTCAGTTGCGTTTCTCAAAACAAACTCAGTCAAAACTCAGCTGAGTTTATAACTCAGAATTTGAGATCGATCTGAGATTATTTTTTATACGTGGTCGAAGCGGCCATGGCGCGGAAATCAACTTCCGTTTCTAATGTAAACACGGTAGAAGTCGTCTGCTAGCGAAGTTGTCTACCGATAGGAAAACGGCAAATAATGTTGAGAATGACTACCAGCGGGATGGAACCGAAACGTAGGCCGAACTGGACCGAGGAGGAGCGGCTTACGTTAGTTGATGAGGTGCGGAGGAGGGAGGAACGGTTGTTCGGCAAATTTAGGGGGTGTGGAGGGAAGAGGGGGGCGGCGATGAAGGAAGAGGCATGGGAAGAGGCAATGGCGGCGCTAAATGCGTAAGTTACTTTTCGTTGAATGCACCCGTAACTAAATTCCCATGAAAAGAATATGATAAATATAACCATAAAAAACTTAATCGTGCATGGATGTATCTGACACCTGTGCAAAAACTGAATGTGAAAAACTAGGTCAGCAGAGTGCCGAATTAGAGTTACCTGCCCCGTACATTATGACTGCAAGCTTTTGGCCCACGTTAATATTGGGTCACGTTACTCAAAGTTTTGCAGATTTGTGCTTATTCCTAATGTGTTTTTTTTGTCTGGTAAATAATACCACAGTATAGATTTGTAAAAAATCTACTGTGAAAAGTAGTTGTACCAAATTCATAAGCATGAAATATTTTTTTACGAATCCAGACTGTTGTATCGGATAATCGACGAGTGGGTGTGACCATGCAGTACCGTGCCAACAATACATGTATATACATGCACACTCCACAGGGGCTTGTAACGCTAAAAACTGCCATCAAGGCATATACTATCACTGACGGGGTCTTAGTACTATTTATATAGTACTAAGACCCCGTCAGTGATATAGTACTAAGACCCCGTCAGTGATAGTATATGCCTTGATGGCAGTTTTTAGCGTTACAAGCCCCTGTGTATACATGTATAATCAGTCTCACGTTTGTTTTTACAATAGGAAATCGAGTCAAATTAAACGGACGGTAGAGGAAGGGAAGAAACAGTATGCGAACTTGAAGCAAAGAGGTATATCATTATACATTTTCTTTATGAAGTTGCTTAGATATTTAAATAAACATTTTCAAGCCTATTTGATGATTATAATGACATTAATGTCACAAATTAATTCTGTAAGAAATATTTTTTATATATGTAATGTAAACCGAACTGATTAAAATTTAATATCTTTATCAATACCTTGCAAAATATTTTCAGCAAAAGAAAAGAATGATGCCATCCGTCGACCCAAAACAGGAGGAGGGCCCAAACCAGCTTCCCCAACAATGCCAGAAGCTGCCATCCTGGAGACTATGGGGGGAAGGGCAACTCTGAGTGGTCTAGCAGGAGGCATAGACACTGAAGGTATAACTTATTTCAACTGACTTTGGGCTATGAAAGTGGTATTTGCTGCATTTTGTGTAGTTTTAACAACACATAAACACATAAATCAAAATAGAGCAATAATTTGTATTTCTTAATTGCATTGATTCACATAAAATATTCATAAAGAGTGTATGAAAATAACACAAAAACATCACTAAATCTACATATTACATGAAGAAACATTGTTCCTAATTTCACATTATTCAACAGTTAAAAACTGCAATTTTCCCTCAAATATGAATATATGTGACCAGGCAATGTTACTATTGGAACAGAACACTTTCTTGACCAAAGTTTTTTTCATACTTTAGCAGCACAAAAAACTGTAAAAATATAAGCCAGTTTGTATATTAACAAGGTGTTATTTGGAAACATAAAACATTAACAATGCTTTATTTAGCAATTTAGCTTCATCACATTTTCCTACTGCAAATGTCATTTAATCATAATATTAATAGTAGTAATAATAATGTTCATTTATATGTAGCTCCAAACTCCACATAAGGTATGCCCATAACGCTGACAATGAATAGCACAGCACACCTCAGATAAGTGCATTCAAAAATACTGTTTCACTTTCCTCATGAATGTATTTTCAGATTTTGATGTAATTCCTTGTGTTTCGGAGGAAGAACCAAGTGTGTCCATGGACTTCACTGATACTAATGAGCATGGTTTGTCCACACTTATATACCATTCTTATACTTTATCCATTAAAATAAACTGTCAAATGTGGGACACATTTTTATCGTACCATTACATGTTAATGTACTAAAAGATAATTGTCTCTTTAACCATGACATACTGACCAATCAGACATTGCAATAATAATAAAATGGGACTATTCATCTCCCAATAACTACTGTATTATCTGAGAAACAGATGACTATTTACATAAAAAAATATATATTTGACTTATTGTCTCATTTCTAAATTTATATTGTGATTTATATGATTATAATCTGGCATAACTGATATGTTATTCTATAGCAATTCTTTACAATAATAACTGTTGACAATTATTTATATTACAGTTCTTCAAAGTGCAATAAATTTCCTTGTCATGGAGGACGGAATACTGCAGATCCCAACTATCACCGCTGGTACTCCAAAATCAACCACTGTTACCACTACTACTACTGCTACTCCTATTGCAACTACATCTACAGCTACAGCTACAACTACAACTGCAACAGCAAATGCCACTAACAATTCCAATCTTCCGCCAAAAAAGAAGCTAAAGCTGCAACAGCAGGAAATACTAACCCTACAGGCAGAGGAATCCAAATTTAAATGTGAAATTGTTAAATTAAAAGAAGAAGCAGAATTTTTCAGGGCAAAGGTAGCATTGATTAAATTAGAACGGGAAAAGCTGAAATTAGAAATGGAAATACTAAGAAAACAGAACCGTATTAGTGAAGAATAATTGTTAGGGGTGCCAAAAATGAAACATACAACTTTATGGATGAAATTTTCTCTTTACTGCATAGAATGATGTTTTGATGTAGTTATCTTGCTAAAAAATGACTAATATTCAGACACGTAATTGTTAAGCAAGGGAGATAATCTGTCTTAAGTTATTTTCTGATAATGTACATTTCTATTCATTACTTGACAAAATATGTTAAACACAGAATGTTCTCATGAGATATATTGTTTAAGCTGTAATGGAATATCTAACTAAAACACTGCTGACACAAGTGTTTTCGAACATTGTTACCAGTCCAGTCATCAGCTATATGGACACTGACATTTTGATTGGTCTCAATATCAACCTGTTCAACATCTATTATATCTTTTCTATCAATGCCAATATTATGTAGAATGACACAAGCAGTTACTATTTTGCAGGCATTTTGAGGTGTTGTCCTTAATCCACTATGTAAACAAGAAAATCTCCTTTTCAAAATTCCAAAACTCTGCTCAATCAAAACTCTGGTTCTACTGTGACTTCTGTTATATTTCTCTTCAGCATGGGATGATGTGGTTAGGAATGGTGTCATCAAGTAGGACTTGCATGGATATCCTGAGTCTCCCAACAGTAATCCCTTGTAGGTACCTATAACATATAACAAATCACAATCTGTGTGGATGGTTCTGTTGACATTCCTATGTAAATTTGCAAACATGAAATATATGAAAATAAAAAAAAGATATTCTACGGCTATTAATATTTCCTTCTGAAGTAAGAGAGAGCAAGTGAGTTTACAATCTTTAACATTGTAGTTAAACTGTGGCCAGCTTAGCCTATCAGTGTAAAAATTGAAATGGCCGAGGGCTGGAGCAAAGAGTGTTGTGAGCATGCAGTGTTATTATTACTGTAGGTAAGACTGAGAGTAAAGCTTAGTATTTAGAGCTGGAAGAATAAAATTAAGTAAAAATAGTGGTGGTCCGAGTAATTGAAATAATCAAATATTGGTCGCAATGACTAAATGACCAAGCAATCGATGTTTTCTCATAATCGAACATTAACAATTTTGGAACATTTGTTTGCATTAACATTATTTTTTTTACAAGGTTGGTTGTGTCTGTTACATTTCATAAGCACTTCCAGCTCGTTTCAAGTCATGACTGAATTTATTATAAAAGCTCAAGAAAAATTATGTTCCTAACATACAAGTCATACTTTTAAGATGTGACATTTGCAAATGCATTTTGTGCAATTAGTTAAAAAATGTATAAGAACTACACGTTTTCTACTCTATTTTTTGTGCATCAACAAACGTATCCAGGAAAATTTGAATAATGATGCTAACCAAAAAATTTTCGATGATTGATTGGTTGTAATGAACCAATCATCAGTTAAGAGATTCTAACCAATGCCCAACACTATTAGGAAACATAACTAAGCTTCTACCATTTTATCATATAAAACATACCAAGTGTCTGACAGGTCTTCTTTTTGTTAAATATAGTAAGTAAATGGAAACGATGTCTTACATAGGGATGTCATGATACATAAGTTTCATGAATCGATATGTAACCTGATACCCATGTCATGATTCAATACACAATACAATACCCATTTTCGCGGCAATATTGCTTAAATTTAGTAACATTTTGAACATTAATGTTGAAAAATTGTCCATGAAAAGATCAACATGTTTGATTCTTAGAGATAAAAAGTTCTAATTTCCCATCTATGTGCATGAAATATAATCTTTTATAACCCTCATAACATCAAGAAACATGATACAATTGATAAATGTAAATATTTATAATATTTAAACCAATATTTTTAAACATAAATATCAATACAATTGTCAATGTATCGATAATTGTATTGCCTTAGAAAAAGTATCGATGCATTGATGTATCAATGTGTCATGGCATCCCAAGTCAGACACCTTACTACTTCATATGATGTACCTAATATTGTACCTCATCTTCAGTAAAAAGCTATGTTCATATATAAAATGTACCTACTATTAATTAAGAAGAACAGAACCACAATTAATATTTTGTTTGAAAAAAACTCTTCAAGAATTATTAAATAAACTGTGTTCTTCAAACAGTGTCATTTGGTATTTTGTTTGTTTATACAGTGGAAGTTATGTTATTACAGTTGCTCTATGAAGTTATACCATTTTCAAACATAATGCTGATTCTGCTGTCTCTGAAGATGCGACTATCATGGACACTCCCTGGCCACTTTGCAACACAGTTGATGAATTTGTATCTCGCATCACATATCATCTGAAAAGTGATTGAAATACTATGTCAGCTTAATATAACAAATTATTATTTGAAATCAGTAGGTCATTGGTCTTGACTGTTTTGGATTTACATTTGAGCATAAAAGTGACGGAGTTTAGTTTTATGCCAGCGCTTTTTAGCAATATTCGAGCAATATCATGGCAGGGGACAACAGAATTGAGCTTCACACATTCTACCAATGTGGTGAGGAATAGGGCAAAATTCAAATTTGACTTAAGAAGAATTGATATGGTGATATGGTGATAATCTACATTTTGGTGGTAACAGCATAGCTAATGAAATATGGTTTTTTTAATGCTGAAAGTAATTTCATGCATTGTACATGAGAAAAGTGGTGATTAGTAAACATAAACATATTACCTGAACATTGAGTGAATGAAAGCCTTTCCTGTTCAAATAGTCTGCTTCATTCTCAGATGGTGCCATTAAACGGATGAATGTTCCATCCACACATCCCAGAACATTGGGGAATCCTGAAAAGTACATTTTCCATAATTCACATTTTTTTGATAAATTCATATATTATACAATTATTATATAGACATTATTGTATCATTAAGTTTTGGGTGTTTTTTTAAAAGTACATCAAGGAATATTTCTGGTTCTTTTCAAGTTTATAAAAATATATTTTTATCATATCGTATGGGATATGTCTCTAAAGTTTATTTTTTCCGACATTGGCAATATCGTTATGTCAGTGGGTCTTACGGGAATTTTTAATACGAGTCTCTTCATTTATGCATGATTACATATCGGTTCATCGAAACTAGAAATGACAAGATTGAGAGTAGCCCCCCTTTATTTGACCTAGAATGAGCTTTGCTACGAAAGGAAGGTAAAAGCAATCAAATACACTCACCTGCAATTTGAAAGAACTGTTTCTTGGTCATGTCGGCATCTTGTCCGCTTGGCATACGTATGAAATGCCGGAGATGTTCAATGAGACAAGAGCATACATCCCTGACTGACCGAAATACAGATGAGGTGGAGATGGTCGCATACGTATCGGCGATTAATGAATAAAAAGACCCAGTGGCCAAGAAACGCAGAGTGACTAGAACTTGCGTTAAGACAGGTAGTGGGTTGCTTCGGTTTGAACACCGTTCGAGTTTCCCGCAAACAAGTGAAACAATAAATAAAATACTCTCAGCACGGAAACGGAACCGCAGAAAGAGCTCCTCTTGTGACATAACCTCGAGAGGGTTCTGTCTGTCAACTAATGATCTACTCAAAGTGGATTTACGTTTCACGCTACGGCGTCTACGTCTATTTATCAGCGCCATTTTGTGATCACCAAAAAAACTTAAGTCACCTCCCTACCAAACTCAAATTGTCAACTCAGTTTGAGTCCAAAATCGAACTCAGTTTTGTTTGAGAAATGCATTTTGCTGAGTTTTCTCAAATTTGAGTAAAAAACTCAGACTTAAGTCTGAAAACAGACTTAAGTTTGTTTCGAGAAATCGGGGCCTGGTCTCCTGGCGGCTCCCTCCTAGCAGAGGAGGCAGTGTAGCGCCAGCGCAGAATACCCAGTAAACCAGGCTGACAACATAACAGAGGCCGGGGGCCAGTCTGTTTTTACAGTGACCCTACACGTTGCCACACACAACACAGGGTTCAGAGAGCACTCATCATCAAATCAATACTATGATGTTAACTACGCACAATGTATATTTTAAAAAAGTTAACATATATATGTTATATATTATTATTGCTATGAATTTAACCTCTGTTTATAGGCCTATAGGTCAACAGTGTTTCAATTTGAACAAGAACACCCAGATAATCTTGCAATGTTCTTTTTGCTTGTTTTACTCCACTTTGAGCAACAGTCGAGCTCCACATCATGGGACGCTTTACACAATATGTTTGTTTGGAACAGTACTATCAAAACATCACGGCGCACGCGTGTGAACTTGATGTGGGAAGAAAGACCTTTAAAAATTTGTTAACGGGTCCTAGACGTTTACAGCTTTGGTCAAACTCACGAGTTCAGGTTTGGTGCTGACAAACCTAGACACCAGATCGAATCTGTGATCCGAACCTACAGGATCCGAACCCACAATCACATTTTTTTTGAAAAGGCCTAAGGGATGCCAATCATTGGTCAACGCCCAATACTGCTGCATCAAATATGCTTACGATCACAAAAAAACGATTGTTTGTTTTCACACGGATCCGATGAAACTGCCACGGTCAAGGTCGCACACCAGGGTGCTTGTTAGCTGTACATTTGAACGCATTAAAGCATAGTATGTACAGCAATCGTCGTGTTTATAGTCATTCTTCTCAGCCAAGCCCTGATCCATGTAAGGTAAAACGTATCACAAGGAGGATCCTGTCACAGTTACGGGAGACAACTCTGTACATATGGGTATCTCTGGTCGCATCGTGCCCGTTCACATTATGGACTCCCTGATATAACTAAGACGGATATAACTGGGACAGTGGGATAGTCTTGTGGTTACAGGGGCGGTGGGGTAGCCCAGTGGTTAAAGCGTTGGCTCGTCACGCCGAAGACCCGGGTTCGAATCCCCACATGGGTACAATTTGTGAAGCCCATTTCCGGTGTGCCCCGCCGGGATGTTGCTGGAATATTGCTAAAAGCGGCGTAAAACCAAATTCAGTCAGTCAGTCTTGTTACAGTGTTTGCTCGTTACGCCGTACTACTACCACCGCAACTACTACTGCTGCCCCTGCCGACGAGCACAGGAGTGATGCTGGCAAAGCTAGAAATCAGGTCGAACCTCTGATTGGACCTACACGGCCCTGCACAGCTTATTTGGTCTCCCGTGGAACTCACTGCGGTTAAACAACGTAGATGCTCCTTTTGCTGCTGCTGAAGGGATGATGTAAATCCAGCTAGGGTCCATGCAGGTAGCAAAGGTACTGTAAGTCCCCATGGACCCTAGTATGGTGATATACCTTCAGTTGTTGGTGATCTATTGCCTATTTTTATATTGTGTTGTCCCCTATAGTTAACATGTTTTAGATTTAATTACTAGTTTTACATATATATATCTGATATTCTAGTTGTTTTACTGTCCTTCGTCGGCAGGTTTTTATAATATCTATATACATGTATATTCTATTTCAATGTCAAATGTTCTCGTCACGATATGGCTGAAATATTGCCGATGTGACGTTTAATAATAACTCACTCACTCACTCACTCACACTACTACAATTGTCTGGAATATGATGCAATTGGTTGCCGCCCCTTAAGGAATGCAAATATGATAAACTTGTCAGTCCTGTTGTAGATAAACAGGTGACAACAGATATACTTAACGCCAGTTGTTCATTTCACACACAAGTGGCATGATGTTACGAACCTTTGTGATCTGTGCTCTGCTTTCGCAAGTGAGTACATTATATTGTGCTTTCTCGTAATTTTACTGTATAATTTGTAGTTTTGTGTCAATTTTGTTCTTTTGTTCCAACCAATGAAATCCGAAAGTACAAGTCTGATATCAACCTTACGAACAGTGCCTGTCTCTCTGTGTGTCTGTAAAACTTGCTCACCCCGAGTTTTCAATGCTGAAAACAATATCAATATATTAGTCACAAAAGCGAGATGAGCCCAGATGCAAATGGAAACTATTGGTCAGCCTTTAACAAAATCCTTTATGAACTAATTCCGTTATTTTTCAGCGGTTGGCGCTGTTGACATGTGTCAGAGAATTTGTCCATTGCACTACGCACCGGACTGTGAAACTAACGGGATGACATACGCCAATTCTTGTGAAATGAGTGTTAGGTTGTGCGCGTAAGTCTTAACTACTAAACTTGGGTATAGAATGACGCCATCAGTGTGCTTTAGGCATTTAAGTCTGTACTACTGCACTGCAGTGAGCGTTGGTCATGTAAGTATGTGCCACAGCACTGCAGTGAGTGTTGGTCATGTAAGTCAGTACTACAGCACTGCAGTGAGCGTTAGACATGTACGTCTGTAATACAGCACTGCAGTGAGCGTTAGACATGTCAGACTGTACTACAGCACTGCAGTGAGCGTTAGACATGTAATTCTGTAATACAGCACTGCAGTGAGCGTTAGACATGTCAGACTGTACTACAGTATTGCAGTGAGCGTTAGACATGTAATTCTGTAATACAGCACTGCAGTGAGCGTTAGACATGTCAGACTGTACTACAGCACTGCAGTGAGCGTTAGACATGTAATTCTGTAATACAGCACTGCAGTGAGCGTTAGACATGTCAGACTGTACTACAGTATTGCAGTGAGCGTTAGACATGTAAGTCTGTACTACAGCACTACAGTGAGCGTTAATCATGTCAGACTGTACTACAACACTGCAGTGAGCGTTGGACATGTAAGCGTGTACTACAGCACTGCAGTGAGCGTTAGGCATGTAAGTCTGTACTACAGCACTGCAGTGAGCGTTAATCATGTAAGTCTGTACTACAGCACTGCAGTGAGCGTTAATCATGTAAGTCTGTACTACAGCACTGCAGTGAGCGTTAATCATGTAAGTCTGTACTACAGCACTGCAGTGAGCGTTAGGCATGTAAGTCTGTACTACAGCACTGCAGTGAGCGTTAATCATGTAAGTCTGGACTACAGCACTGCAGTGAGCGTTAATCATGTAAGTCTGTACTACAGCACTGCAGTGAGCGTTAATCATGTAAGTCTGTACTACAGCACTGCAGTGAGCGTTAATCATGTAAGTCTGTACTACAGCACTGCAGTGAGCGTTAGGCATGTAAGTCTGTACTACAGCACTGCAGTGAGCGTTAATCATGTAAGTCTGTAATACAGCACTGCAGTGAGCGTTAATCATGTAAGTCTGTACTACAGCACTGCAGTGAGCGTTAGACATGTAAGTCTGTACTACAGCACTGCAGTGAGCGTTAGACATGTAAGTCTGTACTACAGCACTGCAGTGAGCGTTATGCATGTAAGTCTGTAATACAGCACTGCAGTGAGCGTTAATCATGTAAGTCTGTACTACAGCACTGCAGTGAGCGTTATGCATGTAAGTCTGGACTACAGCACTGCAGTGAGCGTTAGGCATGTAAGTCTGTACTACAGCACTGTAGTGAGCGTTAGGCATGTAAGTCTGTACTACAAGAGTAAATACCGACGTCAACAGTGTTAGAAGTCAAGGATGAACACATATGTCATTTTTTCAATGGCGTTTTTTGCTCCTCGTCACATGGGGCAGTACCCCGGCCCTACATCATGGCTTACATGTCCTAGTGAAGCTCTCCGTAGTCCGTGTACAAAGCTACCCGGGGTCACCCTCGTCGACTTGAAATAATGTCTGTAACAATAATAATTATTTGTTTTCACACAGGGCCGAGGAAACTACCACGGTCAAGGTCGCACACCAGCATGCTTGCTAGCTGTACATTTGAACGCATTAAAAGCATAGCACCTACACAACCTGGAGTGAGTGGGCGAGTGAGTATGGTTTTACGCCACTTTTAGCAATATTCCAGCAACATCACGGCAGGGGGCACCACAGAAGGGCTTCACACATTGTACCCATGTGGGGAATCGAACCAGGGCCTTTGGCGTGACGGGCGAACGCTTTAACCACTAGGTTACCCCACCGCCCCTACACAAATTGGAGTATTTATAGTAATATTTTATAGTCTTTTGTCACTCAGGAACCTATGCTCCTGTCATAAGCTACGGGAGACAACTCCATCGATAACTGGGTACTCCGTGACTATGGTCATGATGAGATCGTTGACATGTAGACTCCCTGATATAGCAGCCTTAAACGCTAGGTGTGTCGTAACTGAGTTATAGGGCCCAACCCCCTTCATGGATTAAATGCTAACTGGGGCGTTAAGGGAACCTTCAACAGATGCCTAACGTATTGCCGTTCTGTGACTCAATTGTTAGTTCGAAACATTACCCTGCTATTCGGACCCGTGACGATCCGGGTTACGAGAGGTGTTTAATAGAACGTCTTCCAGTGGCAAAGTCATGGCCTCCGTTTTCTGTGACTCTCAAGGCGTTATCATGATAGACTGTTTAAAGAAGGGTTATAAATGCTACATATTACGCTGATGAATTGCGTAGGTTGCGTGACCAGATCAGAGAAAAACGCCGAGGTGTCTGGCTCCTACACGACAATGCTCCAGTTCACACGGCCAAAGTGGCAGTGAGTGCTGCACAGGACTGTGGCTTCAAGATCCTCCCTCATCCAGCCTCTTCCCCAGGTCATCACTGCTGTGGAGG